GGGGGATTTTATTTTTTATTTTGTTTATTGGATTATGATTGTTTTTTATGATGAAAAAATAATAAAAAATTTTGAAAAAAATAATAATTAGAAAGTCTTTTCCCTTTTCCATATTGTTAGTCCCTTTTCTGGATTTTCCATTGACTGTATTTGTTGATCAGTTGAGTCTTCTATCGTAATATTTAATTGTTCCACTTTTTCTGTTACATTCTGTGTAATTAATGTTTTAGTTGTAGTCAAAGTCTGAGTTCGTATCTCTGGGCTGGCATCTTGTTCTTTTCTGTAACCTCTTATTTCATCAGTAGCTGTTAGAATAGTTTGATGAATTGCTTTCAACATAAAGAGAATCTGTTCCTGATCTTCATCCATATTCTCTTAGTAGTGTATTAAAAGCTTTACAATCAGAGAATGCAGGAAAAAAAAGTTTTGTCACTGAGTATGGAACACAGCTGGGCTTCTCACAGCTAATGTTTCAAGGTTACAGGCTTATCTATTGTCTGGGCTGCTGGCCAAGTCTCTTTTAAGCAATAACAAATTGTAATATCAGGTTTAGCCACAAGATGTCGCCCCTAATTTAAAGTTTTCTTTTGAATCCAATGCTTTTATAATCTATTCAGTTTTGCTTCTTTTTTGTAGGTAAAAAACCCAGATCTTCAGTAAAAATAGAAAGTCTTTTAATCCACAAACTTTAAGAAATAGAGTTCCAATTTAGGATCAGGTTATTCTTGCAACATTTTTAAAATCCCCTGGATAGTCAGTCGTCGCTGTTTCTAGAGGGAGGGATAAAATCTCCTTTCCCTCTCCACAGGGGGGAAAGTACTTTAAGCAGCTTATGCAGGAAAGAATAGTTAGGATTTAAGAGAGGTAGACCTCACCCAGTCTCGTCCGCACTGCTTTATAGTTGCCTGTGGTAAGTGTGACTTCAGCTGTCTGCATCCTAGTGATGAGCCATATTGCTATGGCTGGTCTTTCATCCGCCAGTTTGGAGGGATGCCCCAGATCGAGCGAAAGGGCTACCACCCTCTGGTGATCAAGCGGGGATCCCCTCCTTGCTGGTCGCCCCTACAGGGCGACTTTCGATCCTGTCCAGGGTCCCCCGGCGATGTTAAACTGGACATGGAAGACAGAGCTCGCCTTCCAGACGTCCATGGCAGCCGCCTCCGCAAACCAGAAGTCTTTTAATTTTTATTTCTAGTCTGACTTTTACAGTTAGATTTTTGGTAGGTTGAGCTATAGTTTCTTTTTGCATGAAGACTGATGCAAAGAATGAATTAAGCAGCTCTGCTTTCTCTCTACTACCAGTTATTTCCTTGCCATCTTCTCTCTTAAGTGGACCTACCGTTTTCTTCATCTTTTTCTTGTTATTTATATGTTGAAAAACACTTTTTTTTTTACTATCTTTGATTTTGTTGCAAATCTTCATTCATGCTGAGCCTTGGTTTTCATCTTTGCAGATTCTGGCTATCTGCGGATATTCTGCTTTAATTATGTGTCCCTCTTTCCATTTTTTGTACTTGTCCTTTTTGTTTTTTACTTTATCGGAGAGATCTTTGTGTAACCATGCTGGTTTCTTCTTGGTTTTCTTGGTTTTCTTTTTCAGTGGTATTGTGCTGAACTGGGCTTTTGTGATCATATTTTTCAGAGTTTCTCAAGCTTCTTGAGTTGTTTTCCCTTTTAGGATTTTCATGTATGGAATTTTTCTTAGGCTCTCTCAGAGTTTGTTAAAATCAGCTCTTTTAAAGTTTAAGACACTGGCTGGATTATTTTCTATTGTTTTGTGTTTGCATTATATTGCAATATGACATGGTCACTCTCACCCAAAGTTCCAGCAACTCCCTCTATCACTTCTTCTCTATTAGTAAGAATTTGGTCCAGTATAGCTTTTCCTCTAGTTCCTCCTCTACCTTTTGGATGACAAAGCTATCATCTTGGTTGGTTAGGAATCTGTTTGATCTCCCACTTGTTGAAGAGTTTGTCTCCCAACTGATATCAGTTTTTCATCCTTGGTTTTGTGGATTTCTGTAGAGGTGTAGCGATCTTCTGTTACCAAACTCAAATGAGCCTGGCCCTCACTTTCTACGCAGAACATTAAGTATGTGCACGTGCTGAGCACAATCTCTCCCTTTAACAAAATAGTTTTCTCTCATCTTGTTGTAGCTATTACTTTGCAAGACTATGAGAGAGAGAACATGAAAAATCATAATAATTCCCCACAAAATAATGTTTGTATTTCATACCAATAATAAAACTGATGGTTTCCCCAGAAGGGCTAGAGCAGTCGATAACTTTCTGTTGGTGCCATAGCTACACATAGAGGCAATTCTACATTGGTAAGGCATGAGATTAAGTCGATAAAGAAGGTGAAGTACAATCTGTGGGGAAAAGAGATTCAGAAAAAGGATCATTTTTCAACAATTATGGTATGACAATATAATTAATACCTGAATTTTAGGAAGAAATATTATTTTGCCAGTTTTACAATTAACAATTGTTTTTTCTTAACTTCCTGTTCAATGTTAATTTACCAGCAGTTTTAAGCAAACATATTAAAATCAAGCATAGATAAATCTGTAGCAAGCATTTTGGAGTTAGAAAAGAACTCATAATTGTCTGCACAAGACTCTCCTGCTAACTTTATTTTGTAAGGCTATATTTTTGTGGATTTGTTGCTGTGCCACTTGAACTCGAAATCCTTTGTAAAATGTGGTACCTAGAACTGAACACAATAGCCTAAGTCAGTATTTCTTAAAGTGTGGTTCTAGGAACCTGAGGATCTGTGAAATCAAAATTATTTGCCCGATATTGATAGTATTTGCTAAAATTTAAAAGCATGTCACTTTTCTCATTTTTTGTTAAAAATAGGGGTTTTAAGAAAAATATTTTATTTATACTAATATTTAATGGATTTAGTATTATTTTATATGATTCAATAAATATTCTATAAATGTGTATAACCTATGTAAATAAAAACTCTTTTGAGTTTCTCCATAATTTTTAAAAGTGGGAAGGGGTCCTGAAAGAAAAAAATTTAAGGAACACTGTTCTAAGTGGTCTTTGATTAATACCAAATGAAATGGAACAATTTCTTCCTGTGACTTAGTAGAAGAGTGTTAGTTTATGGTAGCTAGAAATCAGGAGGAGTTTGTAAACTGATGGATAGAGTGGCTAAATGCATGTAACCAGTCCACACATCTCATGAAGTGAGTTATAGCATAGGACACACTAGGTATATTATTTGCCACTTAAGAAGTGATCTGACTTTCACATAGCCTAGAATAAGTTACAAGTGGCGAAGAGAGCCCTAATGTTAATTTTGTCAGCACTGATCATTTCCATGAGAAATTAAATTCATCCTCCACCATGAAGGGAGACAGGTCCTTTGGAAAAAAATGATAGTCAAAGATTAAATATAAACAGCCAAATTCTGGCCTCTGCTTCCACCAAACCTGCTTCCAAATGTAGGCTAGCTTTTGAAATACAGCTGAACCCTGATATGTTCTTGAAAATTCAGCCTGGACAAACCCCAAAAGGCAAAATGAAGAAAGAGACAAATTGAACCCATTGAGAAGATGTACTAAGAAGTCAGAGGGCTTTCAGTCCAAAATATGTATTTGGCTACATTCATTTAAACCAGGGGTGTCAAAATGCAGGCCCGCGGGCCAGATGCATCATAGCGAAACTGCACCCATCCCATTGCCGGCAATGGCAAAAAAGTCTCAATACATCGCGACACATCACGTGATGTTGCGAGTTTGACACCCCTGATTTAAACTATCTTAAAAGCAAAACTTCAGCAAACTTCTGATATTTCTACTTAATCTTAATTTTACATACCCCTTTAATATCTTCCTCTGGGATGCCATGTAATCGTGCATAGTAATACATGTGTTCTTCAACAGTCAACAAATCATCTAGAGCATCTTCTTGTGGACAGTATCCAAATTGTGACCGGTGTGTATCATCAATTTCACTCAAGGATCTGAGTTGCAAAAATTCTTTGTTAAGCCTGAAAGATTCTTAAAAGTGCTTAAAAGCTAACATAGTAAGAAGCCATGTGAAACACCTGTACAAACATATATAGTAGAAGGAGAAACATAGTCCCTGACATTGCTGTCTCATTGTATTTGTCTTCTACACATCTGAGATTGCATCTGGATAAAACCACATTTATGGATAATCTTTTATTGACAGACTTATAAAGCATGATTTTATGTTGGCTTCAGTCAATTCACTGCATGAGTTTTGATCACTTTAATAACTTAACACATCCAATCTGTAAAATGCCAGTCTTCTTACTGGGTTTTATTGGAGGGTGGCCTTAGAGGAGAAGGCCACATTTTGATATTCATTTTGCATTTCCGTTTTAAGGCCTCATTCTCAAGAGTGGCAGAAAAACACCAGGGGAGTCACTTGTGACTAAGCATTTCTTACATAATTATTCAGCTGAGGTGGGAGACGAGCAACTGTGATTTGCAGTTCTTGTGAATTTATTAAAAACAATATTGTTGAATGAATTACTCTGAAATGCTATAATTTAACAAAACTTTGGTTTAAGCTTCACATGGCCTCAATCTCTATATTATGGATAGAAAATGCATTACAATTCTATTTGGATTTCTTTTTAACATAAATTATTTTGTTCCATATTGAATTTATTTTCTTAGCTAAGTTGCTGCACTTTCATTGTGGAGAATGAATCTGTCCTCCATACCCAGTTTCATCTTGCATCAGTAGCCTTCCATCAGTTGGACCAATGTCTCCTGTCAGCATTTTAAAAATGGTGGTTTTCCCAGCCCCATTCACACCAAGCAAGCCAAAGCACTGAATTATGGAAGAAAAAGACCACATTATTTTTAAGGCATTTCCTTGACTTAAAATAGATTTGAAAAACAAACATTCTTTCATATTATTCATAATATTTGCAATTTTAATAAAAGATGTTTAAAAGAAACAAAATAGAAAGTCCAAGAGATATAGAAAACAGCATGTTTATGTGCATTCATACATTAAATAGCTAGCAAAATATCAGCTTCAAAGGGGGAGACAGCAGAAACATTCAGATAAATGCTTATCTTTTTTGCAATCCTCCCATCTAATCTCTGAAATGATTGAGTTCTGTGCAGGAACAGTATCCCTGATACAGAGTAAGATATCTGCCTTATGCAGTAGATTTTCAATCACATAAAACATTTAAATGGTTAGGTTTATATGTTTTTCCTCCGGCTTAACATAAGAAGGGCAAAGAGAAATGAGTAGGCTGTGTATGCCTGATATGTCCAGGTGAATGGCTGAAGATGCCTCTTAAGCTGTGCACAATTTTTTGTAACTAATTACACACATTCCAAGAGTGTTTACCTCTCATAATTTCCACTTTTGGTTTAATGACTTACCTCTCCTGCTGGGATTCCAATGTTGACATTTCTTACTGCTACAATCCTTCGGTAGGGAAGATGGTAGATTTTGGTAAGCTTCTGGAGCTGCAACACATCACAATCTGACAAGCCCAATGTCACTCGCTCTTTTTCTGCTCGGACATCCTTGTCTTCCTCCCCAACAATGTCTTCAAGGTAGAGTGGAGACTTACCATGCAGTTTATTAAATAAAAATCTACCAAAAATTAAAATCAAGTATATTAATATCACCTTATTTTTAAATGTTGTTTTATGAAATATTATTTTTGTTGATATGAATTTTTTGCAGAAGCTTTTTAAAAATTCAATGATTCAATACCAGTCAATATACAGAATAGAATAGAATAGAACAGAACAGAATATTCTTTATTGGCCTAGGGTGATTGGACACACAAGGAATTTGTCTCTGGTGTTTGCATAAGCTCTCAGTATATATATAAGCAACAGACCAACAAATAAATCAGATGCTTCCATCTATTGCTGAAACTTGGTAGGGCTTAGGCTTAGGCTTAGACTGAATATATATTAGGATTATTCTACTCTGCAGCCCAGATGAGATTAAACAAAACAAAACAACTACTTGCTTAAACTGCTTTGTGGATCAAGAGCTGTGATTAATTTCTCCCTTGTTTCTGGCATTTTGGCACTGTAATAAAGCAACTCTTTAATCACATTTATTTGATGCAGAAAAGAGATTGTTGCCCCTTCACTGCAAAATGGACCAACATGTACTTGACAGTTCCTGTTACTACATAATCTTAATTTAATAATAAGCCTAACCAGTTTAATTTAACAAAGCATTTTATAAAAACCTGTTAAAACAATAAATTACAGCAAGTTTATATCCTGCAACTTACTTTTTATCCCTAATTTTATCTGTAATTTTGGAATTTCCACATATATTTATGGTTACTTACTGTAATATTTTATGCCACATTTTCTGAATTGTTCCATCATCAAGCAAGAGGCGGAGTGTAAAAAACAGAGTTCCCTGAATGAACATCCCAAGCAGTTTGGATGTTGTCCTGTCCAGTTCAAATGTTTTATCAGGGTAAACCACTCCATAGGCTTTCAAAAAACCCATCAAGGCATTATACTGAGATAATTCGATTAACCCATAACCAAAACAGAATTGTGGGAATATTAGGAAAATATGTCTCAATGTTTCTGCAAGATCATGCAAGTTCTGAAAGAAATAAAGATTCCTTGGTCATTATATTTTTGTAGTTACAAACTAATCTTATTTTTTAAAAAAACCTTTATAACAGATTGTATTATAGCACATTGCTGACTCATATTCATATGTGATGCTATATTTATCCTTTTCATGCAAATCATTAGCAAGCCACATATGAGATATACCTGGTCATTTCTGTCAGTTCCATTTAATCTGAATGTTTCTTAAACACTGAAACAAAATACATTACTTGAGAAGGAATCTGGCCAAGATAGAATTGTTGGTTCCTTGGATTTTAAAACTTTATTTTTCTTGATACAACCTCAAATAGAGTTTTTCTTTATTGCATATCACATTGCAATACACATTCATATGTGAAGCCCTTTTCGTGCAAATCATTATCAAGCCACATAAGGAGTAACTGTTGTTTCTGTCCTCTGGGATATTACTATTGGTATTCTACCCTATTTTATATAATCTGGAAAATTAATGAAAAATTTCATTATATGTTAGTGTCAATTACATGCTTTCAAGCTTATTACCTTATCAGTAGCTTTTTCTTGGGAAAGTAAAAAAACAACTGAATGGGTGATGATTGTGTTGACGCCAAAGAATAAATTGATACAGACATAAACAATAAAGGCCATCCCAGTTTCCTTGAAGATTCCAGCCAGTAAGTACATCCATGAAAATGTTGAATATCTGCAGATCATTAAAAAGCACAAGCAGAATAAAGCAAGCAATCCAGAATAGCAAAGTACTTAATTGGCTTCTAATCCAATTTGTCTGTGAAATAAAAACTGGAAATAAAAGGGGTCTGTTTTATCCATCTTTTCTTGATAATAACTTAAGATTTATAAATTGTCTGTTGTTGTCATGAATTTTTAATGTAATTAGAAAAGATAAATAATCTTATTTTGGAGCTAATTTAATTGCCAAGGATCTACATTAATTTGACAACCATAATTTATTATTATATTCATTTATTTGTACCTTCCTACTCCTTCCTACTCAGATAGACATGCAAGGCAATATAGACTTACTATCTTAGACAAAAACAAAGCATTTGCTTCTCTATATATATTTCTCCTTTGAGCTGAAGTCAACAACTTCTTGGTATTCCTATACTTTTTCTTGATCACACTATTAACAAGGTTTGTCAGCATATTTTTTCAACATCCAAGTTTAGCTTTCAGCTGTTATTATTTCTCAGTGATCTCCCATCCAGTAATACCCAGTTCTGACCTAGTCCCAATAGAGCTGCAAGGGATCTTGGAGGTCTTCTAGTCCAACCCCCTGCTCAAGCAGGAGACCCTCTGCCATTTCAGATAGGTGGCTGTCCAGTCTCTTAAGAACCTCCAGTGATGAAGCACCTACAGCTTCTGAAGGCAACCTTTTCCACTGGTTAATTGTCCTCACTGTTAGGAAGTTTCTCCTTAATTCCAGGTTGCTTCTCTCCTTGAGTAATTTCCATCCATTGTTTTTTGTCTTGCCTTCTGGTGCTTTGGAAAATAAGTTTACCCGCTCTTTTTTGTGGCAGCCCCTCAAATAATAATAATAATAATAATAATAATAATAATAATAATAATAATAATAATAATAATAATAATAATAATAATAATAATAATAAAGTTGGAAGGGACCTTGGAGGTCATCGAGTCCAACCTCCTGCTCAGGCAGGAACCCTACACCATTTCAGACAAATGGCTGTCCAGTCTCTTCTTAAAAACTTCCAGTGTTGGAGCATTCACCGCTTCTGGAGGCAGGTTGTTCCACTGGTTAATTGTTCTAACTGTCAGGAAGTTTCTCCTTAGTTCTAAGTTGCTTCTCTCCTTGATCAGTTTCCATCCGTTGCTTCTTGTCTTGCCTTCAGATGCCTTGGAGAATAGCTTGACTCCCTCTTCTTTGTGGCAACCCTGAGATATTGGAACACTGCTATCATGTCCCCCCTCGTCCTTCTCTTCGTTAAACTAGACATACCCAATTCCAGCAACCGTTCCTTATATGTTTTAGCCTCCAGTCCCCTAATCATCTTTGTTGCTCTTCTCTGTACTCTTTCTAGAGTCTCAGCATCTTTTTTACATCGTGATGACCAAAACTGGATGCAGTATTCCAAGTGTGGCCTTACTAAGGCATTGTAAAGTGGTATTAATATTTCACGTGATCTTGATTCTATCCCTCTGTTAATGCAGCCCAGCACAGTGTTGGCCTTTTTGGCAGCTGCAGCACACTGCTGGCTCATATTTAAGTGATTGTCCACTAGGACTCCGAGATCCCTCTCACAGTTACTACTATTGAGCAAGGTGCCCCCTATACTATATCTGTACATTTGGTTTTTCTTGCCTAAATGTAGAACCTTACTTTTTTCACAATTGAATTTCATTTTGTTAGATAGCGCCCAGTGTTCAAGTCTGTCCAGGTCCTCCTGTATCTTAAGCCTGTCTTCTGGAGTGTTGGCTATTCCTGCCAGCTTGGTGTCATCCACAAATTTGATGAGTTCCCCATCTATCCCCTCGTCCAAATCGTTGATGAAGATGTTGAACATGTTGAAGAGCATTGGGCCCAGAACAGAGCCTTGGGGCACCCCACTACACACTTCCCTCCATGTAGATGCAGTTCCATTGAGGACCACACGCTTAGTACGGCTGGTCAGCCAGCTACGGATCCATCTGGTGGTGATGCTATCTAGCCCACATTTTTCTATCTTATCAAGTAGTAGGTTGTGATCTACTTTATCAAATGCCTTACTGAAGTCTAAGTAAATTATATCCACAGCATTCCTCTGATCCACTAATTTTGTCACTTGGTCAAAGAATGCAATAAGGTTTGTCTGGCATGATCTGTTTTTGACAAACCCATGTTGGCTTTTAGTAATGACTTTGTTTGCCTCTAGGTGTTTGCTGATTCGTTGTTTGATTATCTTTTCCAGAATCTTCCCAGGTATTGAGGTCAGGCTGATAGGTCTGTAATTTCCTGGATCCATTTTTTTCCCTTTTTTGAAGATGGGAACTACATCAGCTCTTTTCCAGTCCTCTGGTAGTTCCCCAGTGCTCCAAGATCTTTGAAAAATATAGTTCAGTGGCTCTGAGATCACATCTGCCAGTTCCTTGAGAACCTTGGGATGTAATCCATCTGGTCCTGGTGATTTGAACTCGTCTAGGCTGGACAGGGGCTCACTTATCATTTTCTTGCCTATCTTGTGTTTCTATACTATTTTTTATGGCACTATTTTTGATAGGTTGGTCTGTTTTTTCCCTTTGTGTAAAGACAGATGCGAAAAACGAGTTAAATAGTTCTGCTTTCTCCCTATTGCTAGTCACCTTCTTACCACTTTCACCCACTAATGGACCAATCATTTCCTTCACTTTTTTTTGTTTTTTACATGTTGAAAGAAGCTTTTTTTATTATTATTGACTTTGGTCGCAAGCCTTAGTTCATTTTGAGCCTTGGCTTTCCTCACTTCATCTTTGCAGGCTCGGACTATTTGTTGATATTCTGATTTAGTTATATGCCCCTCTTTCCACTTTCTATACTTGTCCTTTTTGTCTTTCAATTTGTCAGAGAGTTCTTTATGCAGCCATGTTGGTTTCTTTTGAGAGCTGTTATTTTTCCTCTTTGTTGGTATTGAGCTAGACTGGGCTTTATTATCTTGCTTTTCAAAATTTCCCAAGCTTCTTGCGTTATTTTCCCCTGGAGGATTCTCATCCATGGAATCCTTCCCAAGCCCTCTCTAAGTTTGTTGAAATTAGCTCTCTTGAAGTCCAAGACTCTACTTTGACTATGTTCTATTGCTTGTGCTTCCATAATGTTGAATTCCAATATTGCATGATCACTACCTCCCAAGGTTCCTGTGGCTTCAACACCTTCTATCATTTCATCTCTGTTAGTGAGAATTAGATCCAAAATGGCTAATCCCCTAGTTCCCTTCTCTACTTTTTGGGAGACAAAGTTGTCTGCTAGGTTTGTCAGGAATCTGTTTGATCTTCCACTTGGTGCAGAGTTTGTCTCCCAGTTGATGTCAGGGTAATTAAAGTCCCCCATTACTATGGTGATGTGTTTCCTACATACCTTAGTTAGCTGACTAGCAAAAAGTTCATCTATTTCCTCTGTTTGGTTGGGTGGCCTATAGTATACACCTATGGCAATGTCATTTTTTCTCCCTTTTATATTGACCCAAATGCATTCAAGACAGTTTTCGTCATTGTTGTGCTCTATTTCTGTGGAGATGTAGTTATTTCTTATATAGAGAGCAACTCCATCTCCTCTTTTATTTGATCTGTTTCTTTTAAATAATTTAAATCCCTCTAGCTGTGTGTTCCATTTGTGGGCTTCATCCCACCATGTTTCTGTAATGGCAACAATATCATATCTGCCCTCATTGACCTGAATTTCTAGTTCACCCTGTTTGCTGTTCATACTCTGTGCATTGGTGTATAGACATTTGAGTCCTTTATGACCAATCCTGTGTTTACTTTCTACATAACCTGAGTGGTGCCTGAGTTCCCCTATTGTCTTACCACCTATTTGGTTAGTGCACTTTGTGTGGCACTCGTTATTAAAAGCTTGACAGCAAGGTTGGTATTTTTGTCCACACACATATCTATCTTACATGCGCTGATAGCCCTATTGTTTTTAGATTGCCGGGGACAGGGATGCTCTGTATTGATTAACTCACTATCCCTGAAATACTGCTATCATGTCACCCCCTAGTCCTTTTCTCTAGACTGGCCATACCCAATTCCTGCAACCATTCTTCATATGTTTTAGTCTCCAGACCCTTAAGCATCTTATTTGCTCTTATTTGCACTTTCTCCCAAAGTCTCAACATCTTTTTTGTAACATGGTGATCAAAACTGGATGCAGTATTCCAGGTGTGGTCTTACTAAGGCTTTATAAAGCGGTACTAATACTTCATGTAATTTTGATTCTGTGCCTCTGTTTATACAATCAAGGATTGTATTAGCTTTTTTGGCTGCTGCTGCACACTACTGAGCATTTTGAAATCCATGAAGCTCATCCAGGTATTGCTTCATAGCTGGGTATATTCATGCATTTAGATAAAGAAGGTTAATAGCTACAATGGGCACACATAAAGAAACAAAGAAAAGCAAGTAAAACACTGCATTAATTATAACTTTCTATCTTAAAATTAAAAACAAAATCAAGAAAATAAAAGAATGCAGATCAACATGAGAACAAAATTTACTTCTCAGAGCCTAATGTAGCCACATTTTGCCTAGCAATTCCACAGTTTATACTTTTTTATTCTTTTTTTAGTTTTGCATCTATTTTATCATGAAACTTTTTATTTGTTCTGTCTCCATGTTCTATCTGAGCAACACTGTATATAGGTCCCTTAGTATATCATCTTGATTCTGTACAAGCATTTCAAATTCTGACTATTTTTCTTAGAGGCCCTCCATTATTTCTGAAGTCAGTTTTTATTCTTCCAGCAATGTGTAGATACATCAACCATGTTATGTTTTGATTTTTTGAAGTAGTTGTTGCTGTGTCTTTAATCTATTTATGGGGTGTACATGGATCATATCTGCATATGTAATTATACTTTTCCTATATAGTTATCTCTGACATAAAAAGCATTTAGACAAAAGCTAGTGGTGAAATTGTTGAATTTATTTTTCTCATAGGCTTCTATATTTTATCATGTTTTGTCTTATAATACAGCCTTTCAATTTTTTGTGCTCTTTCATAATCCTATACCATTAAGTAGACTGGCTTCTTTTTACTACATACCTTATTTCTAGAGTTGGTTGGTTGATTTTTATTTACCCTCTTTTATGCTTTGTTTATGACTAGTTACTTAAAAAACCTGACTTTTTAAAATTACTTTTTAAAATAAGCAATTTAAATAGCTCTGTTCAAAACTAGAATTGGAGATTCAGTTCAAATTGAATCAAGCTATCCAAATCCTTACCCAAATAAAAGAAGAAGCAGGAATACAGCCAACAGGTTTTTGTCATTGAAGAAAGCTGGTATCTGAAAAGCTGAAATAACTCCCACTGAAAGTATAACAGGCACCAGAAAATAAACCTGTAGAATGTTCATAAATACAATTGATTATCACAAACTAAATACTAAGCCTGTTTATTATAATATCATATATAGAAAACATATGGATAAAATGTGGCTTAAGCTGCATGAGAAAAAAAACTTCCCTTCATAGAATATAAATACAGAAGCATCCATTTTTACTTTAAAAATAATTACCATTCCCCACTGTTTGCTCAGTCATCATCATGGAACTGAATTACCACTTCATTGGATTGATTTGAAAAACTGGATTTTCTTCTAACTATGAAAATGTTAGTAATAAAGGAAGCAAAAGCATTATTTACAGAGGCCCTAGAAAGCAATGGCTATAGAAAGCTTTAATCTGGAGACAAACAACATTTCTAAGATAGTTCAAAGCAATTTGAAAGAAGTGGTATATTTCAGAAGGATGAAGGCTATTTGTGTCTGCTAGTTGAACTTATTTTGAAATAGTAAAGTCTGCCACCCAGAAAGAAAAATGTATTAATCAACATAAACCACAGTCCCTTCTCAAGTATTTTTTGAATTACTCATACATAATTGGTATGTCAGCTCTTCCATAATAATTATTTTGTTACTGTTTTTACATGTCCAACCTAGAAAAAAGTACAATAATGTAAAGTACATTTTAAATTGTAGAGCTGGACAAGGCTGTATCACTCTGCAGACAGCTTAAAGAGATGGTTTTTATTACATTTTATGTTGTGTCCTGGGCCTGATGAAGCAACTCAGCAGGCCCAGAAATGTTGCAAATGGTCCCGGGCAACCTAAAAGCTGCCCAGGACCAGACTGGCTGGCGCCGGACTTCTGTGCATGCGCAAGGCACAAAGAAAGAAGGATTCCTATTGGCTGGACTGCCTGGGGGTTGGAAAACTATAAAAGGCCTGCGTGCCTGTTTGCAGCTTGTGCCTGTTTGGAGTAGAGTTAAGGAGCAATAAAAGAAGTTTGGTTCTACTATGTGTCGTGCTTCAATGCCTCGAATCCCGAAACACAAAAGTGGCGACAAAGGTGGGATCGCTGAAAGGAAAAAGGCAGTAAGAAGAGGATAAGCCTCATCTGAAGAGCCTGAAGCCTGGGAATCGGTGTCCAGCTCTGCACTCATCTGCCAGTACAGCATCGCTGGAGGTGAGCTTGGCAAACGGGCCCTTCCCCCTCAACGAAGGCTTGCAGCGAGGCATTCGAAGCAGAAGATGTCAAAGATTGGACGTCTGTCCGAGTTCGACGTCTCTCACCCAGAGTGCTGGAACTCCTATGTGGCCTGGGTGGAAAATTACCTAAGGGTTAACCAGGTTCGGGAAGACGGCTTGAAAGCGGCAACCCTGCTGTGTGTCTGCGGTCAGGACACTTTCGATGTAGCCGAGAACCTGGTAGCCCCGGCACCATTGGAGTCTGTCACCTATACAGACCTAAAAAACATGCTGAAGGATCACTTCCACCCCAAACTTTTTGTGATTGTGTGGAGGCATGCTTTTGAGCAGAGGGATCAGAAGCCGGGTGAGTCCGCTGCTGAGTTCATTGCTGCTTTGAGACAAGCTGCCAGTCTTGTGAATTCAAGGACCTGGAAGAACGCTTACGAGACCGCTTCGTCTGCGGCCTTAGAAGCAGGGAGCTGCAACAAAAAATCTTTGCTAAAGCTGAAGTCACCTTCCAAGATGTCTTACGCGAAGTTGCAGCTGAAGAAGCAGCAGGCGGCGCTGTGAAGGCTTTGCGGCTCGCCAGAAATGCTCCAGCCGTCGCGACCGTCCATCAAGAGGTCGCTCAGGAAGCTCAAGACTTGGATCCTGAAGAGGAGGTGGACAGACTTCACCAGCCGGCGGTAAGAAGACCGTGAGATAAACCAGATAAGGCCCCAGCAGCCCTTCAGTGTCTCGGTTGCGGAGGACACCACAAGTGCACGGACTGCCGGTTCCGCTCTGCCATTTGCCGGGCATGTGATAAGCAAGGCCACATTGCCACCGTTTGTTTGGGTCGCCAGCAGGTGCAACCTCGGGAAGAATTCCTTCGGAAAGGTACCAGGGTCCCCAGCCAACACAGAGTGGGTTTCTGCGCGTCACGTAGAAGCATCTTGCGAACAGGGACGCAGAAGCCCCTTAAAAAGAAGCTTCGCATTGATGTAGGGGTTCCCTTATCGATGGAGCTGGACACTGGGTCTGCTCTATTGATCATTTCACACAATACCTTTAAAAGGATTTGTTGCAGTAGTGGCCGTCGAGTCAAACACAGGCCATCGAACTTAATTCTTACTGACTTTCAAAATTCAAAGGTGCAGCGTAAGGCTTTCCAAGGCCTCTTAGATGTGGTGGTTGTTGGGGGTGATCGTACGAGTCTAATTGGACTCGATTGGTTTGAGGCCCTGGGAATTCAGGTGACTGGTCTGAATAGTCTGCAAACTCTAGGAATTGCAGAAGTCTGCAGAGAGTTTGCGGATGTGTTTGCGGATATGTTTAATTCAGAGCTCGGTTCATACAAGGGGCCTCCCATTGCCTTGTGATTAAACCCAAACATTGCACCAGTTAGGATTAAGCCTAGGAGGGTACCTTTCGCCCTCAAGGGCAAGATTGATGCTGAACTGGACAAGCTGCTCCAGCAGGGCATCTTGGAACCTGTGGACTCAAGTCCATGGGAAACCCCAATTGTGACGCCTTTAAAGGCTAACGGGGAAGTCCGAATTTGCGCGGACTATAAGTGCACTCTGAACACAGCTTTGCAACAGCATGCATATCCTGTACCAGTAGTGAGTCACATTCTGGCCTCCCTTAAAGGGGGAAAACTGTTTGCAAAGCTTGATTTAGCACAGGCCTATCAACAGCTACCTGTTGATGAGGCAACTGCTGAGGCCCAAACAATAGTGACCCGTAGGGGCGCTTTTAAGGTAAAAAGGTTACAATTTGGGGTGAATGTTGCTCCTGGCATATTCCAGAGCATCATGGAGCACATGCTCAGGGGTATTCCAGGGATTTGCCCCTACTTCGATGACGTCCTCATTGCAGGGGAGTCATCACAGAATTTGGCTGAAAGATTAAGGGCTGTGTTGCTGAGGTTCCGTCAAGTGGGCCTCAAATTAAAAAAGGACAAATGTAAAATTGGTGTTACTTCCACAGAATTTTTAGGCTTTAAAATAGATGCTCAAGGCATCCACCCTGCAGAATCTAAATTGAAGGCCATTCAGGAGGCCCCAAGTCCCAAGTCTAAAAGCGAGCTTCAGGCTTTCTTGGGACTTCTTAACTTCTATCATGCTTTCCTTCCCCATAAGGCTGCAGTGGCTGAGCCGTTATACCGGCTCTTAGACAAGCAAGCTCCATGGCAGTGGACTAAAGTCCATGACAGGAGTTTTAAGGAAGTCAAGGCCTTGCTCTCATCAAATGCGGTATTAGCCCATTTTAACGAGCAACTGCCTGTATGCATCGCTTGTGATGTATCCCCTTATGGGGTGGATGCAGTACTCAAGTCACCTAAAGGCTGATGGGACACAAGTCCCTGTGGATTACTACTCAAGGACTCTGTCATCTGCAGAGCGGAATTACGCTCAGATTGACAGAGAAGCCTTGGCAATAGTGGCTGGCATAAAGAAATTCCATGATTTCTTATATGGCCGTCACTTCACGGTCTACACAGACCACAAGCCTTTGCTGGGGTTGTTTACAATGACCAAACAAACCCCTCACATCATTTCCCCTTGTATGCTGAGGTGGTCCATTTTCCTGTTAGCATATGACTACACGCTCATTCACAAACCTGGGAAAGAAATGGGCCATGCAGATGGCCTCAGTAGGCTGCCTCTCACTCAAATAGAGGCAGATCCTGCCCCTGCTATTAATATTCTCTCTATTCAGGAACTACCTGAATCCCCCCTCAATGCTAGGGACGTGGCTGCAGAAACTGCCACTGATCACACGTTTACACGTGTGCTGACATGGGTATTGTCAGGATGGCCTGACACGTGTCCAGATGCTGCGTTTCAAAGCTTCTGGCAAAGGAGGCACGAAATGTCTACATTTAATGGGTGCCTGTTATGGGGTAGTAGAGTAGTTATCCCAGCATCACTGAGGCCTAGAGTCTTGTTCTCTCTGCATGAGGGACATCCGGGCATTGTGCGCATGAAAGTGCTTGCACGCAGCCATCTTTGGTGGCCTGGGCTTGATATAGCTATTGAAGCCCAGGTGCACGGGTGCCAGGTGTGCCAACAGTCATGGCCTGAAATGCCTCAGGCCCCTGTACACAGGTGGGAGGAGACACAACCCCTTGGTCAAGGGTACATTTAGATTATGCTGGGCCCTTTCAGGGGCAATTCTTCCTTATCCTGGTGGATAGCCATTCCAAGTGGCTAGAGGTTGTACCTGTCGCCTCCACTACTACTGCTAGGACCATCCAGGTGTTGAGAGGAATCTTCGCTACCCATGGACTTCCTGATGTCCTCGTCTCTGACAATGGCCCCCAATTTACTTCTCTTGAGTTCCAGGCTTTCCTATAGGCCAACTTGATCTGGCATGCAACGTCAGCTCCTTTCCACCCTTCCACCAATGGGCAAGCTGAACGGATGGTACGCACCACCAAAGATGCACTCAAAAGAATCATGCATGGTAGCTGGCATCACAGGTTAGCAGATTTTCTTCTTGTACACTGCACCACACCATGCATTGCCACCAGGAAGAGCCCAGCTGAACTACGCTGGGATCGCCACCTCATCGTGAAGTTAGACAGACTGCACCCAGACCGGGTGTCTTCACAGGTGTCACAGCCGCGGGCTCCTAGGAGACTTCAGGTGGGCGATCTGGTCTGGGCAAGGAACTATGGTCCTGGACATCTCTGGGTTCCTGCTGTCATCTGTAAGATCTCAGGACCGCTATCATATGAAGTGACTTTGGGAGACGGCCGCGTTCTGCAGCTTCACATCGACCAACTGCGCTGGCGGTTGTCCCCTGTTGATTCCGCCCCTGCCTCTGCTCTCGGGGGGGAGGGGGCCCAGGAACTAGGTCACACTTCAGGTCAACATCCTGAGAACCAGCCTCACTGCTCCTGGGAATTACTGCAGGTCGCTAGAGATTTCCCAGGGGAGGAGCAAGGACATTCTCATGGTTCAGCTATTGCGCCGAACAGGGAGTCATGCATAACCGCAAGAGCTCCAGACAGGAATTCTCCTGAGGAGGGGTTTGCCATAGAGGCAGCTCCTGACTCTGGCACCTCAGCCACTTACACGGGGAACTGGAATTATTGGGGCACACCTGCAACGCAGGTCACGTCCGAGACTGGAAATTCCTCTCCTCCAAGGAAACCTGGAGAGGACCCAGCCAACTCAGCTAGCACGCCTCAACAGGGATCACCTGCAAATTATGAGTATCAAGGTCCTGGTCTAGCGAGCCCACCAGACGGGCCGGTAGGCCAGGCGCCCTTAAGTACAAGTCCTGGTCTGCCTAGCCGGGCAGGTCAGCTGACAGGCCAGGCACCATCCCTGACCTTGTGTAGGTCACAACGGGCTAAGGCCCCTCCTAAGCATCTAGGTGAATATGTGAGGTTCCTGTCAGCACAAAGGGACCTTGTTGGTCTAGGACAAGGAGATGGGATCTATGCTGGGTAGAAGATAGACACATTAAGTCTACATTAAGGGGTGGGTTGTTTAGCTAACCCTATTATTTTATAAGAATGTTTTGCCTGCGTGTGAGCAGGAATATTATTTTCCTTTTTTATTATTGTGCACAATTGGAATTGTGTGTGTTCCATCTAGGGGGGAGGGGTGTTGTGTCCTGGGCCTGATGAGGCAACTCAGCAGGCCCAGAAATGTTGCAAATGGTCCCGGGCAACCTAAAAGCTGCCCGGGACCAGACTGGCTGGCGCTGGACTTCTGCGCATGCACAAGGCGCGAAGAAAGAAGGATTCCTATTGGCTGGACTGCTTGGGTGTTGGAAAACTATAAAAGGCCTGCGTGCCTGTTTGCAGCTTGCTTGGAGTAGAGTTAAGGAGCAATAAAAGAAGTTTGGTTCTACTATGTGTCGTGCTTCAATGCCTCGAATCCCAAAACACAAAATTTTACATATCATTTTATGAAGTCAGTTAGATGTGAAATGGTAGCAATAATGGGAAACAGAAAATGTTTGTGAGATTATTAAAAGCAATTAAGTTTACATTTAAAAAAGATGACATTGTGGTTTTACAGAAAAGCTAAATTCTGTAAAGCCTTTAAATTTATGTTGATATCTATTTATTTGAAAATATTTATAAATCATCTCATGTACAAGATGGAATAGAATCAGTCAAAATAATAAAATAGCTAAGCTGCTAAGAATATTTTCTATGTGAAATGTTTACAACTTTTTTTTCAATTCTTGGAATTTGATTTCCTGAAATTAACTGCCTCTTAGATGTGCTTAAGTTAGTAGCCCTAAATTTTCCTTAGGTTAAGAAAAATTAATAATTGGGACACATTAATCCTTGAGATCCATGCACATTAATTTTCTTTATTTTGGGCATATAAAAATTAGAAGGGTAGCATGGATATTGGTGTTTCATATAGTTCCTATTCTGGTTCCTAACTACAGGATTCACAAGATTTTCCAGTTCTTCCCCTAGTAAGAGGATTTTTTAGTAGCAAGAATTCAGTGAAAGGTATCAAATAACAGCATATCACTACATTAGTTTCAGTCTATTGAATGCTGACTTCAGTTAGCTCATCTAGGATGCTATCAGTGGTGGGATTCAGCCAGTTCGCACCACTTCAGAAAGAACCGGTAGCTAATTTTTGTTGCCCAAGCCCAGAATTGACTTCCGGAAGCGTCATCCACACAGAGAAACGGTTGTTCACATATTTGAATCCTACCACTGGATGCTATCCAACAGAAAATGCATAAATGTGCCATTTCAGACCAAGGAGCCAAAGCATGAAAAAGGCATTCCTATGAGTTTAAATCCAGAAAAAAGTGCTTGGTTTTAAGTAGCTCTATTCAACTTGTTTGAACTATACAGGCCTATTAGAAATGGTTTGTGACAATTCTCGTGAGAAAATATTACATATTTATTCAATAATTTGGAAGTAGATGATCACATTTTTAAAGAACAAAATGGCTGAGTTCACACGTGCTTAGCCATATTTGTAGTGTTGTATCAAAAGCCATATTTCTCATACATGATTTCAAACTGCCTATGTTTTGCTTATTGTGATATATGAAATACAGAAAAAAGTATCCAATATATTGTGAGAAGTTTTATATCCAAATAATTTTATTATTTATACTGTTTCCATCCTTCCTTAAAATATTAACAGAATCCACAATGGTCTGAGAATTGGTGTTTCCACTAGATAATTGACAGTCAAGATGAAACTAAGTTAATCAACTAAAATTAGCAAACTTCCTCCCAGATCCAATCCACATATCAAAGGATAAGGTCTGCAAACACAAAGTTAATTAAATTAAGATTCCCAGAGGAACTGTATGTTCACAAGAATAAGCACACCTACACACAGACCTCAAATGTCACCCTAGAATCAACATGTGACACACTGAACAAGTTTCCCTTATTAAAATCTGCTGCTGTACCCCATTTCTCTGCAGCCTGCCTGACCCCAAATGCAAACTGTTTTGCTTTTAGGAATAAATATTTCTTTTTTCCTCACAGCTGTCTGGATCTCACTTTTATTTATTCTTGTGCAGCCCTGGCTCGAGTTGGATCCCCAAATTATTCTTCTGACAATATCTACCCTGAGAACTCATGAATATGCATTTGCCTACTGCCAACTTTGCACATTTCAGTATTTGCTTCTTGATAAGATTCATATTAAAAGACATTTTGTTTTCATCAGAATTACTAAGTACACTGTATTCAAAATTGGAGGATAAATTATACATAAACATGAAATATGCTCCAAAGATTTTATTTTGTTTAAGCCAATATACAAAAAGGTCTATAAGGTAATCTGAAAGCAAGCAGGGATTTTTTTCTCTCCAGGATTAATTTCATAGCAAAAACTTTTCCTACCAGTGATTTTCCACATTTTGTAAAAAAAAGAGAAAAGTTATTTTCCTCTGAAGAAAGGAAAACCATTTTTATAGGATGAGTAAAACAAATGTTAGTCTGGAGGATAAAAAAAAATTTGCTGGCTTCTCATCAAGTTACAGTATTTTTTAACAATAGTAATTAAGACATTATGGTTGAATGTTCATATAATAATAGGTACAGTAACTCAGAATTCCAAACAAAAGATCCATTAGGGAATACCAATTAAGTCTCTCTTTTTGCCAGATTTTTTTTTACAATTTAACTTGAGAACAATCTTATTAACTTCTAGTTAAATATAAATGAACTTCTGATCTTAGTAGAAGATTGGACTGTTATAAAGGTCTGAGTTGTATAGATATAGTATAGCAATGACAACAACAAAAAGAGGATGCAGTCCATATATTACAAAGCATGGTGCAAAAGCTTAATTCTAAGATTTTAAAAACTGAATATAAGCATGGAGTTCTATGAGCCAGAATAAGTAAGTGAATCCTGCATTTTTTAATATAGCTTTTTTTTGGCTTCATTTCATCATATGATATTTTCCATATTATATTTAAGAAATAAGCTACTCACCATGTCATAAATGAAGTTAGTCACCCAGTAGCTGGTCACACCAAGGCCAGAGATATGCTGCAGCTGTTTTGCCTTTGTTTGATGTTCCTTGACCACGTAAAGAACAAAGCTAGCTGTTGTGATGGAATATCCGATCAGGACTGACATGGACACGATGATATCCAGTAAACTACTAAGCCTGAGGAGACGAAAAAGTAATGAAAACATTTTAAAAGATGAATAGGCCAGCCATGGCCAGCTCCAGCTTTTAAGATGTTCTATACAAAGAATTTTCTAATGGGCCTGACTTGTGCTGGAGTTCTCTGGAGGGCCAGCTTAATTTTCTGCATTGTCCAGAATAAAGTTAGGTTAGAGGCATTGTAAGAAATTCAAAATTGTCTGAGGTAAGTATCTATTGTTCCTAAGAAAATTGATCAGGAAATTAAAAAAAGGAAGAAAGTTAAGCATCAACTATGAGCCCAAGATCTTAATGAATAGCACCGCATGCAGATATGTTTTATTTTAGAGATATAATATAATAAAATATAAACAATTATTTTTATTCCATAATTTTTTTCATAACTAAATTGACAATTGCTGTCAAAAATAATTCAGGATCAATTAATATGTCAGAACAATTATAGTTAAATATGATAACTACTAAGATTAGTAGGTCTGAAAGAGTTAATGTCATATGATTTGGTGCCAAAACATTCCTTCCCCATTACTAAATATCACAGAGAAGTGTTCTCTTTGTAATGGAGAACCTGCAACCTGAAGGGATACAGCCCAGAAATAAATTGGAAAGCTAGGCAAACAAGGGTTTTTTCACATGGTACTACTGTACTTCCACTCTAGTCCTTCCCACAAATTTTGATGGCAATTGTATAATCCTTTTCACTCCCAAAAACTTTGGAATGCAAGGAAAGGGCTTTCTCCAGCAACCAGTTAGTGCAAAAGGAAATAAAATCATTTGCTACCCCTCTCCTATTTATGTTTCCAAAACTTGTGTGTGCCTAATCTGAAAAAAAAAAACCCACTCCAAAACACTAAGCTATTGCTATAAAAGTGCAGCCTCAAATTCCCCCGTCCTGCTTCCCTCCCCCCCCTTCTGAGCCAGTACGGGAAAAAAGTCTGGTGCTTTGTAAAGTACCAAAGAGAAGAAACAAACAGAATTCTGGTTCAGTTTCATTCCTGTTTGCTTTACTTGGGCTATGAAGGTTATTGCTTGAGCTGAATATAGCAGCTAGATTACTACCCAAACATTACTTAAAAAACATATTATATACTACATAGGCTAGAAATACATTTGCTATATATGTAATCGTTAGTAGCGATGATGTTTACATCTTTACATAGTTGGAAACATAGATTATTTGAGGGAACACCTCTCTTGGGTACTACTTTTGGTATACCTCTGCCCATCCAGGTACTAAGGTCTGCTGATAGGGCTGCCTCTTAACTACATTCTATTACTTCTCATTATGTATATATTCTGTATTTGTGAATTTACCTATTCATTCTTATATATTTGTAACCACAAAGTCAGTCCTCATGGTCACACAGAGCAACAAAAAAATTGAGTTGCCTGATGCACAGGTTTCCAGCTGAGATTTCAGTATTGCTAATTCAGTGTTTGTGGTTGTTGCTGCTGCATGTCAAGATGCTTCTGGGTTGAAAGGATTAGCCAGTGACATCACTGTTGCCCAGGGGACACCCACAGGGGCTCCTTTTATGTCCCAGTTATTTTTCCCACTGAATGATACCTATTTATCTACTTGCATTTGCATGCTTTCAAACTGCTAGGTGAGTAGGTGTTAGGACAAATTGATGGGAGGTCATTCTGTCATGCAGCTCGCTCTCGGGTTTTGAACTGCTGTCGATCCTCAATGGTTTTCTGACTCAGTGTCCTAACTACATGAGCCACTGTGCGTTCAGTATTTGTGGTGACTTTACAGAATGTAACATAAAGTTGCCTATATGTGGCGATGCAATAATGGGCTTTCATGGTTATGACATTTTGGTTATAGAATTTCTTCTTCCCTAGAGGCCAGGCTATTAACAAAATAGATTTCACTGCCAAGTAGAAATCAGGTTATCAATCTATGCCAGAGGTCTTCAAACTTGGCCCTTTTATGACTTGGGGACTTCAACTCCCAGAATTCCTCAGCCAGCGTGCCTGGCTGAGGAATTCTGGGAGTTGAAGTCCACAAGTCCTAAAAGGGCCAAATTTGAAGACCCCTGATCTATGCTTTCAGTTGCAGTTGTAATAACTCAGTTCCTATTCTATTTTTAATCAGGTCATTTTACTTGCTTTTTGTTGAATTGTTTATCTTGATTTTAATGAATAGATAATGGATATAATGGATGGAGAATAAAATACAGAAGTTTATAAATATTTAAATATACGTATAAGGCCCCCCTCATTCAAGAACTGATTCAAGAGGGGGGAGCGGACCTGGCGGGTATCACCGAGACCTGGTTGGGCATGGAAGGGGGAGTTCCCCTTGTTGATCTATGCCCACCAGGTTTCCAAGCATTCCATCAGCCGAGGGCCCGGGGTAGGGGCGGGGGGGTGGCGGTCGTTATAAGAGAGAATTTATGTCCAAGGGAGACCACTGTGCCTCAGATAGACGGTGTTGAGTCCCTTCTTGTGAAGTGGGGGCAAGGGGTGCAAGTGGGCCTGTTGATAATATACCTGGCCCCCTGCTATGTGTCAACGGCCCTGCCTGAGCTAGCTGACGTGATAGCCGCGGTGGCGGTGGAGACCCCCAGGCTTATAGTCATGGGGG